AAGTGCTGGACGAGGAGGCTCGAGCTCAAGATCGATGGCAACTGCTCTCATCTATTGAAGAGAAAGTCCTTAGTCAAAAGGCCAAGATGCATTGGCTCAATGTTGGAGATGGAAACAACCAGAGTTTTCATAACTCAGTGAAGATCAGAGCAACAAAAAACTATATTCGAAAGATACAAAAGGAGGATGGTGCGCTAGCTACAACTCAGGAGGAGATAAAAGCTGAGGCGGTTAATTATTTCCAAGGGTTCCTGGCGAAAGAGGTCGTTGGTCATTAGGGGATGGAGATTGATGAGTTGAAAACTCTGTTAAAATTTCAGTGCGCTGTGGCTGACAAAGATCTTCTTCTTCATGAGGTTCCTGCCATTGAGATCAAACATGTGTTATTTGCAATGGCAAACAACAAATCTCCAGGTCCAGACGGTTTCACATGTGAATTCTTTAAGGTCACATGGGATATTGTGGGGAAGGACTTCGTGATCGCAGTCCAATCCTTTTTCAAGACTGGTTTCGTGCCGAAGGGGATCAACTCTACAATTTTGGCCTTGATCCCGAAAAAGGAAAATTCAAAGACAATGAAAGACTTCCGCCCTATATCTTGCTGTAATGTCCTCTATAAGGTCATTTCGAAGATACTGGCCAATCGTTTGAAGCTCATCCTGCTAAAGTTTATATCTCCAAACCAGTCTACATTTGTGAAAGATAGGTTGCTGATGGAGAATGTCCTCTTGGCTTCAGAATTGGTTAAAAGCTATCATAAAAGCACTGTTTCAGAAAGATGTCCCCTCAAGATAGATATTTCTAAGGCTTTCGACACAGTCCAATGGCCTTTCTTACTCTCTGCCCTCACTGCCCTCGGCTTCCCCAGTGAATACGTTCTCTGGATTGAGAAATGTATCTCCCTTGCTTCTTTTTCAGTCCAAGTTAATGGTGAACTTGCTGGGTATTTCAACAGCAAAAGGGGTCTTCGTCAAGGCTGTGCTCTGTCTCTATACTTATTTGTCATCTGTATGGAGGTGTTGTCGAAAATGCTAGATAGAGCAGCTGTTCATAAGAAGTTTGGATACCACCCTTACTGCCAGGACCTCAATCTCACTCATCTAAGTTTCGCTGATGATTTGCTTGTATTCTCAGATGGTCAGAAAGGATCAGTAGACGGAATCCTGGAGATTTTTGAGCAATTTGCAGACGCTTCAGGCTTGCATATTAGTATGGAAAAATCAACTCTATATTTGGCAGGTTTGTCTGACACAGCAAAACACGACCTTCTTGATTACTACTCTTTTGCTAATGGAGACCTTCCGGTTCGTTACCTGGGTTTGCCGCTGTTAACGAAACAAATGTCTGCACACGATTATGCACCTCTCATCGAGAAGATCAGATCGAGAATAAGTTCTTGGACATCAAGGTTTCTATCTTTCGCAGGGAGACTACAACTAATTGCTTCAGTAATCCACAGCCTAACAAACTTCTAGATATCGGCTTTCAGATTACCAAAGAAATGTATTGAAGAGATAGATAGTTTGTGTGCAGCCTTCTTATGGTCTGGTCCAAGCTTAAGTAGCAAGAAAGCCAAAGTCTCTTGGAAAGATTGCTGCAAGCCCAAAGAAGAGGGAGGGTTGGGGCTGCGATCGATAAAAGAAGCAAATGACGTCTCTTGTTTGAAGCTAGTTTGGAAGATCCTCTCATCTAACACTTCTCTGTGGGTAAGGTGGATCAAGAGATATTTGATTCGCAAGAACTCTTTCAGGTCAGTCAAAGACAACACTTCCTTGGGGTCTTGGATGTGGAAGAAAATCTTGAAATACAGACCTATGGCGATGCACTTCATGAGGGTGGAATTTCACAATGGGTCATCGACATCATTCTGGTTTGATCAGTGGTCTCCTCTAGGCAGACTTTTTGACGTCACGAATGGCAGAGGTATGATAAATATGGGCATTAAAATGCATGACACTGTGGAGAAGGTAGTGAAATATCATCGCAGGAGGAGGCATCGAGAAGAAATTTTCAATACCATTGAGACAGAGATTGCAAATCTGCGTCTGCGAGGGCTGAACCAGAAGGCGGATGTCCGTATGTGGAAAGCAGGGGATGATAATTACAAAGCAGAGTTTAGCTCCAAAGCAACATGGAAGCTCATCCGTGTTGAGCAAGCAAAAGTCGACTGGTACAAAGGAATCTGGTTTCCATACAACACTCCTCGATTTTCTTTTATGGATTGGATAGCTGTTCAGAACAGGCTCCCCACAGGTGACAGGATTCTCAACTGGAACACTGCAGCATCAACAGCATGCAGTCTATGCCCCGAACCGCTTGAGACGCGTAACCACCTGTTCTACAAGTGCAAATTTTCTGAAGAAGTCTGGAAAACACTCACTGCCAAGCTATTGTCTATACATTATACAAATGAGTGGGAAGAGATTGTGCGGCTTCTAACTGACCACACATGGAACTCGACCCGCTTATTCTTGATTAAGTATGTTTTTCAGGCAACTCTTACTGCCATTTGGAAGGAGAGAAATGGGAGAAAACATGGAGAGGGATCCAACAACCCTGCAACTCTGATCATAGGCGTAGACAAAGTAGTACGGAACCGTCTATCCAGCTTGCGTCTAATGGGAGTCACCAAGCACACCAAAGCCATGGAAACATGGTTCTCAACAAGATGAAAAATTCTTTCTTTACTTCATTTCCAATCCATCTCAGAAACTTATAAACCATCTATTTTCATGATGCAATCTTTGTAAAAATGTTTTTTTTCTTGAATAAATTTAACATTCATTCAAAAAAAAGAAATTAAACATAAAGTAATGTCTTTGAATTAGTTATCCAAAACATAATTTGATAGCAACTGTTTCAAAACATAAAGAGTAATAAACAACAACAATAATAATACAACTAAACTGGTGTTTTAAAAGATTACAGAAATCAATCGATAAATAGTAAAATGTTTTCACATGTTAAAAACATGAATAAAACTTGGGTTCACCCCCTATAGTGAATTGTATAATTCACCCCACTTCTTATGTTCAATTAAAATGACATGTAGGATTAGTACAAAAAATATTAAAATTAAAAGAAAAATAGCTTGAAAGAAAAAGAACTAACGGTGTGACGCTGTTCTTCGGCTTCTTCTTCTTCATCGCTCACAGAAAAATAGGAATACAAGGGGTTGTGAAGTTCAAATCTCCGATTCTATGCTTTCAAATTTAATTTTAATTTAATCTTCTCCAAACCATATCAAACCATGTTCATCCATGGATTTTCTTCTTCTTCATGCTATTCGAACATCATCGCTTGAAGCAAAATCGATTTTGTACTCATGGAAAGAGTGTCAAACAAGGAGGAAGAAGAAGAGCATCGAGTTAAAAGATAAGTGGTTTGTTGGTATTGAACCTTTGATTAAATCTTCAAACAAAGAGTGTGTGTATATTTGTGTAATAATGAAACACAAGACAAAACGGAGTCAGTGTGAGAATAAAACAGAGAATGAGTAAGTGAACAAGAGAAACAAATATGATGAAGAGGCTGGCTGAGAGTAGTTGTGTTGCGTGGAGAGGTCATTGTTGTCTCTCCAAACAAATGCTAATTTCATGAGAGGTCAGCCTGATCTCGTGAAGAAGATGCAGACCAAGACTTGCATTGCCAGGTCTAAGAAAAGAAGAAGAGCAGCCAGAGCTAAAGCTCAAGTAAAGGAACGCTGCAACGTTTACAAATCTGAATCACACTCAGGATTCATCACCCTCTTCTTTGTAGCCTCTCTAAGCTTAATCTTCTGTACTAAAACTTGTGTTATTAACTATCATCTCGTTCTCTTATTATATATATCTCACGTCGCGTATCACCTTGCAAATGCTTTAATCAATGGGTGTCGAAATTACTTTCTGGTTGCAACCTAACTACGTTATGGGTATATATGTTCTGCACCTTTAATTTTATTAATTGGTCACTAAATATTTTTCCAAAGAGAAAAGAAGATTAATAAAAATCAGAATAATATGTTAGTTCATCTCCAAGTGGATTCAATACCAAACGTGATAATCTTTTTCTGAAACACAAAATTTTATTTCAATCAAACCAAGTTAGAGGTCAAAAGAGCCTCGTTTACAAACAACATATTCTTAACCAGACCCTGTTCATCGGCTTATCTGTTTTTTTTATCTCTTGAAATACACTATAGATTTCTGGATTGTTGTTTCCCTTTTGATGCTCTTAGTTACTTGCAATGAATCTACACAGACAATCTTCTTGATTTCCATTCTTCTCCATCCTTCCAGTGCTTCCCTTAACGGCAACGCTTCCCCATCAACTGTGAAGAAACGGCTGAAAATTGTTCTGTAATATTGTTGCTCGTGACCGTCCAACCTAATCCTTCAGCATTAACTGCAGAAGCTTGTGATAATCAAAAGATCTAAAGGAAGAGACATATAACAAACAATAATTAGACTTGGGGTTAATTATGTTTCTATAACGAATTGATGTGATAAGAAGTCACACTAAGAATTATTTCGGAGTCTCTACAGGAGATGAAGAAGAACCGATGTACAAGGAAGAAGAAATCAGATCATGTTCCTTCTCAAAAGTGTTAACGGCGGCTTAACGACGTTAGTTCTTTTATTTTTTTCTCAAGTTATTTTCTTTTTTGCAGTTATAATATCTTTTTGCAGTTTTAATATCTTTTTACTACTAATCCTACATGTCAATTTAATTGGCCATAAGAAGTGAGGTAAATTATACCATTCACCATAGGGGGTGAACCCAAGTCTTGCTCTAAAAACATTGCTCCAGTATTATTAACATTCAAAATATTCATCAATTTTCCACGTTTAAAAATTTCCTTTACCACAAACTAAATTTATTAAATCTATTAGAACTAATTTTCAGTGTTTTATGATTATTCTGCATAAACTTTATCCAATATAGTTTTTACTGCTCCATCATACAGTACTTCGATTATTTTTCACTATCACACTGTACAACTAATATCCTAGTCAAGCTTAATCTATCACCACATGACAAACTTCTCTCTCCTGGAAACACTGAATAGCATACATGAAATTCGCAATTTGAGTTGGATGGCGTGGATCGAAAAAGATAAACATGTCCGGTTCCTTACACGCCTTTGAGAGTGGCAAACAAGTCGCGGTTAAACCTCCATTATAAACTTTAGGACAACATGGGCTAGTAGTGTTCAATAGATTCGAACTAACTTGATTGTTCGAAGGTCCACGAAGTTCCAACATGAAGTTGAAGTAGTCGGAGTATAAGAAAGAAGTGTTGGAGAGCTTGTGACGCATATGCGACAAGCTTTCTCTAAGCTGAACATTGAAAATCTCGATAGCATGGTTTAAAGAGTCGTCGCAGCTTCCACGAGGTACCGTCTTAGCAATGATATTTGGGTAACAACCTAAAGGTTTAATGTTGTTCATGAAGAAGTTCCGTGCTCCTAAGTTATATAATCTCTGCAGCAAACATTAAAATATTTATTTAGCCAAAAAAACATTAAAATATTTAGCAAAACAGATTCCGTTCTCCTAATATCAACGTTATAAGTAAACCTTTTCTCGAAAAAAGAAGACAATTAACGTTATAGAATAGTTCTATTCATGGCTTTAAAAAAATAAACGTCATTTTTAAAAATCAAACATTATTTTTTAGAAATTCTTCCCGGATTGGTGTATTTATTAGGTTAAGAACATAACATATATTGAAATAGACAGTCCTACTTAAAACTAAATAATGTAAGGGCCAAAGCAATTTTTTTTTAAAATCCTAACATTTTTGTACCTCAAGTTGTATCAAGAACTCATTAAGAAGCTTGTTTGCAAACTCATTCGCATCGGTTTCTTTCTTTTTATAGGTGAAAGCGTAATCATTTACCCCAATCGCCGTCATAAACAACGATTCACCCAAGTGTCTGCTAAGCTTTGACTTCGTCTTGAACTTTTTCTTAAGATTCTTCTCGATGGTTTCTTTAAATAGATCGATTTGGACACTCATGGAGAGACATCTTCCCTGTTCATACAAAGAAAATGTAAACTCAATATGGTTTTTCGATATTGCTAAGATCTTTAGGTGGAATAATGAAACTTACAAATTTCTTTCCTGTCTCAGCTAAAATCCCACAGCTAGCAGAAGCATAATTAATACCCGTTGAGAGGTTGTTTATTTCTTTTCTAGATAATCCCATGTAAGCAGGAGCCAAAGGAAGCCCATAATAAATAGCTGAGAAAAGAAAAAAAAGCATAAACAGAGGGTTAACATTTTCACTCATTGAAATTGTAGTAACTATGTATATTTAGTTATTTGTAAGTTTACTAGTTTGTTTGTAATTAGTCACATAAAAAGAATATTAAATCCTCATAAAACGTTAATAATTCTTTTTGTTCTTACCAATATAATCAGCAATTGTTTTGCCATCACTAAAACGGCCGGTAGCTTTGCCTCCTTCAAAGTTAGAACCATAAGGTTTAAAATTCGCTCTGACTATTGTCAGAAGATGATTATTGTTTCCTGGATCAACCAATGAATCTCCAATAACATACAAAGCTGGAAAGTTCCCGCCAAAAAGCACGACCTCTTCTTTTAATGGCTTCGTTGAATTAATGATGGTGACACTGAAAAGACAGAAAAGGAGAAAAAGAAGGTATGACTTTAGATAAGAAGGCAAACCCATTTCTTGTATTTTCCGGTATACAGAAAAAAAAAAAAAAAAGAGCTTATGCCTGCAAATTGAAAATCGACTAAGAGAACATTAGATCGGTAATGAAATACTACTATGATGTAAGAATACTAAAAGTAAAACACAGAGACAAAAAAAAACACACACACACAGAGAAACGGAAAATGAGAAAGAACAAGGAGATACCGATGAAACAGAGGAAGAAAATGAAGTGAAGTTAACCAAGAAAAAGTCAAGACCGTTGAAGGAGAAGCATATAAGAAAGACCAAAAAAGATAAAGCTACTGTTGATATGAAAAAAAGAAGATAAAAGCTATTTATAGCATTGCATGATAGGACAGTGGAAACGAAAATTATCCAGAGCAATTATTTATCTGCGATGATTTTCTGCTCGATGAAAATACAAATAGAAAAGTACAATCTATTTTGATCATAAAAACAATGTGACATTCAAGATATGTAATACACGTGTGTGTCAATAAGTATATATATTCAAGTTGTTTGAGAATGGACGTAATGGAAGCAGTGTCGTGCTCAGGCTCACGGAAACTTAAGACAAGCAAAAAAATTGTGATCCTTCTAATATATATAAGAATCTTAAAATATTAATAATATTGTTTCAAAACATACATAACAGTACTAAGAAAACCAACAATATAGAAAATCTAAAACATGGTTTTCTAAAATTATTCACCAAACTCACATTTAAAAAGTCAAAGTATCAAACAAGGAATTTAAACATATTAACTTGACAAAATAACAATCACATAGTAAACCTTATTAAAAAAATGTGACGCGTCCCTCTCTTTTAGAAAGTTTTGGATGCCTTAGGCTGGTGCATGCCTTTCTCCAACAACGTTAAGCATGGTTATGAATGGCAGAATATTAAATAGTTACAAGTACAACCAGGGGCGGATCCAAAAAACAAATTAATATGGTGCAGAATACATATAAATTTATATTGTAGGGAATATAATTTAATAAATCAAATTATTGTTTTACAAGAAATTAGTCATTAATTTTCTCAAAATGCATCAAAATATACAAAAGAATAATTTTCACAATTTAAATATTCATTTTCAATAATATCATAAAATTATATTATATATGCATATAATAATTTCATTACAAGATATTCCTTTTATTTTTATTTTTTTCTTAAGTATTTTAAAGAAACTTAATAAATATTTTTACAGTTAAATTTTAATAAATTGCGAATTTTTATTTTGAGAAAATATATGAAAAAAGATTAGAATACTCTAAAATGGTTGTTAATATTTTACAAATATTTTTTATATTTTGTGTTTATGGATTATTGTTTAAGATTTAGTATCAGAGGGTGAGATTAGATTTATACATTTTTTAAATGATTTAAGAAAATTAATTTGATCATTCTTCATCACAATATAAGGTATTTACAAAAATAGTCATTCTTTAAAAGTAAATTTTAAAAATGATATCAAGTTTATGGTATAACTGAAATTTATCATATTAAAAAGAAAATAAAATAGTTATGACAAAAAATAGTTTTAACTAGTAAAATCAAAAGAAAATATTCTAGAAAAGCTAGTTAAAGAAAATAAAGCAGTTATGGAAAAAATAGTTTTAGTTAATAGAATTTAAAAAAAATGTGTACAATAATTACAGAACAAAAACACAACACACTAGGTTCAAACTTGGGCTGGGTGGGGCACATGTAAGCTTTTACGGCCGAATTGCTATGGATATATCTCAATATATTTTGTTGTTTAAGTAATACTAGATTTTGATCCGCGCAACCGCGCGGGTGTTTGTTTTCGTTTATAGTTAGTTATATAAACATTTTGTTTTCACTTGTAAATTGGTATATATTATAGTAATCACATATTTACAATATGTATAGTAAATATTTTTCAAACATAATAATATTATATAATATGTATTTTAATCAAATAGATTGTTTCAAATTTTATATATTATACATGGTTTTCAAAAATGTGTTTGTTTCTTCTTCTATATTTTATTGTTTGTTAGATTAGTATTTCCATTTTAGATAAATTAATATAAATAGAGCTTGATTAAATATTAGTATAGTTTAATTTGCAAAGATAATATAAATTTCGAAGAAATTTTTGCTAAAAACTAAACTTATAGCTTCCCATACCACCTCAAGTTCTTTGAGTAATAGATCAGCCGTTTGATGTCAAAAAAAAAAAAAAAAAAACTAAACTTGTAGCTTCATAAATTAATATTATAAAGAATTTTATTAAAAAGGAATTTTTAAACAATTTTTTTAAACAATATCATTTTAAAAATTTACATGGAAATAAATTTATCTAGTATATATAGCTTGTAAATTTTGTTAGAGTATATAAATATTACATACTTGTTAATATATTGTGGATGCATTTAACTATTATTGACATATTTCCTTATAAATAATAGAAGATTCCTAAACTTATATCTATTGACATATTTTGCATGACTAAGTTAAAAGGTGTGGGTAATTTACCATAACCAAATTGTTAAGCGTATCTTTGTTATTATAGATATGATTTTTCTTAAGATATAATAATAATAAAATTATCAGAGAGTTAATGTAATATGATTTTTTAGTAATAGTCCATTTTTTAAAAAATTACACATGAAGTCAAGTCATGACTTCTGTTTTAATATATAAGATATAGCATTTAGCATGTGGCACGTGGCACACCCACTTCCTACATGGGTCCGCCCCTGAATACTCGTCATTGCTATAATCCATACGATACACGTTAACATAGATGCTCAGACGCATCACGTATGCATGTTTAATGGACTAGTTAGTTATGTATGACACGAACTTACATCATATAATCTTCGTATGTTTGTTTTTTTGACATCAAACGGCTGATCTATTACTCAAGCAACTTGAGATAGTCTGGGTAACCAGACCGAAATAGAACAACCAACGTACACAAGCTTAAGATAAAAAAACCTAGTTAACTTAGTTAGAGAATCAGAAACGTCATTATGTAGTCTAGAAACATAAAAAATCTTGAAGACAGGAAATCAGATCTTCAGTGTCATCAATTTTTCCAGTTCCGTTGAGAAGCTAGGCCAAGCATGTGGATTTCTGAGCATTTCGATCATCTCCTTGCAATCAGTTCCAAAGCTCTGACATGGCGATTGTTGAAGCATGTTCTCCATTGCCCACCGCAGTGCTTGCAACTCTGAATGCAACGCCGATTCCACTCGATCAAAATTACGCAACTCCAATAGCTGGCTATTTCCAGAAGAATCATTCAAAACCCATCCACATCCACTGAAGGAATCTGTTGAAGTCCAAGATCCGTCCACCATACATATGTTACCCAAACTTAAGGCCTGGTCCTCATCTACTCTGTCCCCAAGGGAGGACGGTATAACATGCTCATTGGCTTGGAACCATGCTTGGCATTCACTTTCTGCATAGCGCGCTACTTCCAATGGGTCCCTATCAATGCCTCTGAATAGCTTATCATTCCTAGCCTTCCAAATGTACCAGATTAGCCAAGGATAAGGGTCCCTGTCTGATTCCGGTTCCATTATTGCATTCTTCCTCCATAATAGATAATCCATATTCGCATACGTGCTTTGTACTGAAAACAGAGCGGGATTGGTAGGCGTGGATCATAACACCCAAACCTGTAGTGCAGGTGGGCATTCAAATATTTCATGTGTGATTGTTTCCTCGGGTTCCTCACATCTAGGGCAGTGGTTGTCACATCTCATATGTCTGTAGTTTAAGATGCTCGTAACAGCTACATGTCCTGTAATCAACTGCCACATAAGATGGCAAATCTTTTGGGGAGCCCTGACCTTCCAAGCATGTGCTTGGAGCTTTGTGATACTAGGCTCACATACTTCAGATTCATCCTCCTTCCTCAAGATATTCCGTGCTACCCAGTATCCAGATTTAACTGTATACTGTCCAGTCCTCGTGTAGCTCCAGCAGTACGTATCCCGTCAATGCGTGGAACTAATGGTCATACTCTTGATGAGTGGTATGTCAGCTGCATCAATATAATCGTGAAGTCGGTCATCATCCCAAGCTTTCGTTTTTTGATTAATCAAATCGCTCACTCGCTTATTTGGATGCAGAACCGGTGCCAATAGGATTGTTGGTCTCGCAGGTATAGTAGGAATCTAAGGATCTTCCCAAGCTTTAACTTCATATCCCGAGTGAATTTTTTGCCTAATTCCCAATAATATCAATTCTCTTCCGGCCGATATGCTTGTCCACACATATGAGGGGCTGATAGCATTGATTTGACGCAAAGGCGTACTCAATCTGTAATATCGGCCTCTCAAGACGCGAGCTACCAGAGAGTCCAGGTTCTGTACCAGTCTCCATAGTTGCTTTGCTAGTAACGCAAGGTTAAACTCATGAATCATCCTAAAGCCAATTCCGCCTTCTTCTCTAGATAAGCATAATTTGTCCCATGTTGACCAGTGGATGCCCCTTTTTGGCGGATTTGAACTCCACCAGAACTGTGCAATGGCACTAGCTAGATTCTCACAAATCTCCAATTGGAGAAGGAAGCAAGACATTACATACGTCGGAAGAGAAAGCATGATTGATTTTCTCATAACTTCTTTCACGCCTTTAGAAAGTCGTCTCCCAGTCCATCCATTCACTCTATTTCTCAACTTTCCTTAAGGAAAGCAAAGAGCTTACATTTGGATCCACTGATATCTTCTGGTATACCTAAATATGACCTCATTCCTCCTTCATTTTGGATCCCAAGTGTGTCTTTGATCTCTTATCTCACATCCTGGCCGATTCTTTTACCAAAGAGTAAAGAAGACTTATCAAAATTAATGCATTGTCCTAAGGCTTGTCCATATACCTTGACCACTTTCATTACTTCTTCACATTCACGGGGCTCCGCCTTACAGAAAAACAGACTATCATCAGCAAAGAGAAGATGAGATACCGAGGGACACGCACGCGTGATGCGCATCCCCGTTATCTTTCCTTGATTCTCTGCGTGATTTAGAAGGCTAACGAGTGCTTCCGTGCACAGAATAAAAATGAAAGGGGACAGAGGATCCCCTTGTCGTAGACCTCTCTCCGGAACAATATTCCCTCTTGGCTGTCCATTCATAAGGACCTTGTACTTTACTGAACTTACACATCTCATTATCATAGTTATCCAGACTTCAGAAAAACCCATCTTTCTCATGGTGGCCTCAATGAAGGACTAATCCATCCTATCATATGCCTTGCTCATATCTGTTTTGATAGCCATCCTCTTGTTTTGGCCACTCGGTTTTGTTCTTAGAGCGTGGAACAACTCCTGAGCTATCATAATGTTATCAGATATCTGTCTCCCAGGAACAAAGGCTGACTGGGTCTCTTGAGATTCTGTCTGGTAGAAACTTCTTTAATCTCTGGCATAAGACCTTAGAGATAATCTTGTAGCTAACATTGCATAAGCTAATAGGGCGTAACTGGCTCATCTGATTTGGCTTGTCTACTTTTGGAATGAGACATATGTTGGTATCATTTAGTCCAGATGGCACCGTTCCCTCAAATAAGAATTGATTAACCATAAGAGTTAAATCATCCTTTACAATATCCCATAATCTTCTGTATATTTAATTAGACTCTTCTCGTTCTTTTAATTATACACCTCCTGCGTATTTCTAAGAGCATCTCTAGTGGTGTTACCACCATTAGAGTCTTTAGCATTATTATTATTTTTTTTTTTTAATTTTTTTGTTTGAATAATTAAAGACTCAAATCAAAATTGTATGTTCAATGGTATTTTCCAATTTGGAGTTCTTAGGAATAAGAAAATAAAAAATCTAAAACAAGTAAAATTAATTTTTTTTATTTACTGCATGATTAAATATAAAGATACAATAATTATTAATTTTCATCACCAAATTTGTCTAAATATTTTCAATTAAATAATTTTTCAATTGTTCATGTATACGCCTATCGCGAACATGATTATCTGAAGAGAGCAAAATCACCTTTTTGCCGTGACCAATTATTATCTAGTCTTGAGTCGAGAATGAGAAATTATTTTTCCCAAAACGAAACACATTACTCCATCGACCCAATGGCGCGATGACACGTCTCTAAGGACCAAATGCTTATAATCCTTAATTAAGGACCAATCCTTAGCTAACTTAACTTCTATAATATTATTGTATTCATATTAACCTAGGATTTTCTGCTAAAAACTCGTGATAAACCTCCGTTGCAGATGCTTTAAGGAAACATTTTCAGAAAATGCATTAAATAAACATATAAATTTTGAAGAATTTTAAGCCAAAAATCATCTTTAACATTATCTATATAGGCCATCATTAACGCACAACCCCTTATGTGGGGTGCTTATTATTATTATACTTTTTTGTCTGATTTTTAAAAACAAAAAAAAATTATAATACAAATGAATCGTAGGCCGTCACGTATCAGTGGAACCGCAAACAATGAAAACATCCCAGCAGTTGCTCTTAGCGCCTACGTTAAAGGTGCCCTTAGAAAATAAGAAATGGCATGGACCGAACATCCAGATATTTTGGAGGTATTCGTGATTCGATCCATTTGATTCGAATAATCAGTTATCCTATCAAATTTGATCTGTAACTATATGGATTCAATGCCCAGATATTTGAAAAAAATTATATTTGTAGATATCGTATTTGATCCGTACAAAGAAAATAAACATTAAAATAAACAAAAAATCAAAATAATATAAAATAATAATATTTCATTACACGCTTGGTTTTTAACAGGAATTTTTATTTTGAGATATTTTTGTTTTGTCTCACTTAATTTTAATTTTTTGATGATAAAATATTGAGAAAATACTCATCTTCGTCATATGAAGTTTTGAAGCTTTTGTATGTATATGAGTTTATAACTTTTTGCTATATACTGTTAAAGTTGATTTTTTTTTTTTTACTTTAACTTAAACCTTAAAGCGTTTAGGTTGAAAACTAATACGCAAACTTTGAGACCGCTAGGTGTATGCATAAACGCCTAAATGACTCATTTTAGAATAGTGACACAATCGACATTGAGAAATCAGTTATAAAGCAATCACACTGAATCAAATATTTGAAAACATTACGGTTGGGGTACACAATTGTTTCGAAACATTGATAATGAGAGCAAAATAAATTAACAACGACAAACAACAAGCAAAGCTGTGATTTTCTTAAGATTGTTGCTGAGTAAAGTTAATTCATTTAACCTCACACAACGTGGCAAAATTTTCTCTGCTGGAAACACCCAATCGAGTACTGCAAATTCGCAAATTGAGTCGGATGAAATGGATCAAAGAAAATATGTGTATCTGGCACCTTACACGAGCTCGAATCTGGCTTGCAACTCGTGTAAACACCTCCATCATAAACGCTAGGGCAACATGGACTTGTCGAGTTGATTAGATTCGAACTAACTTGGTTGGTGGAAGCTCCTCGAAGTTCCAACATGAAGTTGAAATAATCTGAGTATAAGAAGGAAATGTCGGAGAATTCCTTCTTTAAATGAGTCAGACTTTGCCTCAGCTTGCAGTTGTAATTGTCAATTGCTAGGTTTAATTTATCATCGCAGCTTCCACGGGGCACGGTATTAGCTACTTTGTTTGGGTAACATCCTAATGGTTTAAGGTTGTTGATGAAGAACTTTCTTGCTCCTAAGCCATGCAATATCTGCAAAAAAAAAATCAGAATGTTTAGTAGAATGCATCTTGATTAACCCTGAAAAAAATATTTGAGCCTAAACTCACTAGATAAAATAGAACTGGATCTATTGAAGATTTTGTTATTCGATTTAGAGTTTTCACAGATATTTTAAAAAAATATTAACTTTTGATTATAACTGCATTATTTTCCTTGATTATCTGTTTTCTAATTTTAAATTCATAAAATTTAATAAATACAATTAATTTTTAAATTCATATTTTATAATTACTACTTATTACAAAAATACATTTTTGAAAAGAGTTATTTTCTAAATCATAAACCCAAACATCTTTTTTATTTTACCTTAATCTGTATCAAAAAATCGTGAAGAAGCTTGTCTGCGAATGCACTTGGGTCCATTGTCGTATTATAGTAGAAAACGTAATCGTTAATTCCGATAGCGGTCATGAACAACGATTCAGCCAAATGTTTAGTGAGCTCTGACTCTGTCTTAAAAATTTTCTTCAGATTCTGGTCGATGGTTTGGTTGAATAGATCGACTTGGACACTCAATGAGAGACATTCTCCCTTTGCTCACAAAAAGAATCATGCAAAACTCATTAGTTAACCAATATTGCAATTAAATATCCTGTAGAATATTGTAACCTTTGTTTTCTTAGAATATTGTAACTTACAAATCGCCTTCCTGTATCAGGGAAAATCCCACAGCTAGCAGAAGCATAATTAATACCAGTTGAGATATTGTTCTTTTGTTCTTCTGTTAATCCTTTAAAAGCAGGAGCCAAAGGAAGCCCATAATAAATAGCTGAAAAATATAACAAGACCATTAGACAAGGTTTAAATCTCAGTATTTTTAGTTATTTTGTATAGTTTATAGAAGTTATTTTGTATAGTTTATAGAATTATAGGACTCATATTCCTTTCCAAAATCCCTACCTACAACAATTTATCTTTCTTCACATTCAATATTTAATTTGTTATTAAGAGTACACACTTTCCATAAAATTACCAATGAGAAATAATTTTAGATTAGAATTATCAAAAAGAAATGACTGGTTAATACTATTAGTCCTTTGCATAATTAAGTACACGGCCTATAAAACATCTTAACCATAAAATAATCCCTAAACTAAAAGGAGAGAAAAACAATTTTTGTTTGTTCTTACCAATGTAATCAGCAATCGTTTTGCCATTGCTAAAACGACCGGTGGGTTTGCCTCCTTCAAAGTCAGAACCATAAGGAGCAAAATTCGATTTGACTTTCGTGATAAGATTATTGTTGTTCCCTGAATCAATCAATGAATCTCCTATAACATACAAAGCCTGAAAGTTCCCGCCAAAAAGCACAGGTTCTTCGTTTGATGGCTCCGAGTTAATGGTGGAGACATTGAGAAGAAAAAGGAAGACTAAAAAGACGCATGGCTTTAGAGAAGAAGGCAAACCCATTTCTATCTTTCTCTTTTGGGTTCAGAGAAAAAAAGAAATGGATCTTGCAAATAGAAAAGCACGAAGATGAGAGTTACTTATAGCGATTTGGAAAGCATCATACAGCTTTCATACATACTAAAAATATACAACATGGTAAAAGCTATAATTAACTATTGTTAAATATTGTTACCTATTCCTATATATGAACTGAAAAAATAAACGGTATCCAAACTCTTTTTATTTAAAAAAAAACTTCCTAAGAGAACGAACGGTGTATCCAAGCTTTTGACATAAATATCTCATCCGAGATAGCTGAATATACTTAAAATCCTGCGTGTAAATTCTTTGTCTATTCCTCTAAATTATGCTGGTAGTAATTTTTTTTTTTTTTTGTAAACACTATGCTGGTAGTAATTATTGAGGAGAAAAGTATGCATGAAGGTTTATTTATATAGAAAGCTGCCCTATCATATCATAGGATTTTATGCCTAACAATGTTAATTAATCAAGACGTAAAGTACAAAATTTAGTTGTTCAAAAGTATATCGATTGATAAATAAGGTATATATGACCCTAATTGGTGTATGTATATTTTTCCGCTATTCATCTATTCAACAAGATACAGTATTTGACTATTTTTAACTTCTTACTTAGGGTGCTACTGGATGGAGTATTTATAAACACTTTTAAAGATTAAATTTTATATAATGTGATTCTAGTGTTCTTATTCATTTAAAACTATTGAAGAATATGTTAAAATCTGATGTTATTAGTTTATGATCTGTAGTAAATACTTAAAAGTTTTCAAAAGTCTGGAGTTGTTGTATTCATCATTTTACAAGAGTAATAAATGTCTTTTTTTTTTTTTTTTTGGGCAAAGAGTAATAAATGTCTTGTGTTATTGAAAAAACTAAAAAAAATATCTGACTTTGTCACTCTTCTAAAGTCTTCTGTTATTAGTTAACTGATTTCACATAATTTGTTCACAAAATCTATTTGTAAAAGTATCACATCTTGATCGGTATTCTCAAAGTCTTTTTTAATTAAAAAACGGGATTCGTTTCTCTCTTTTTTTTTAGTCTCCGTAAGTAAATTTTGCAAAGCTGTCATTGTTACTAAACAGAAGCTGCACTCTTCGAAACAACTTTGTTTGGTAGTATTTTACCAAAAAACTTTGTTTGGTAGTTCTCGCAAATGGCTCAGTATCAACTAATTTCCGTCTCTTTCCAATCCATGAACATACACATTCAGGTAAATAGTAATTCCAAAATTTAGCACGAAGATTTGAATCACTCAGTAATAATAATACAGAATTTGGGACAAAAACAAATAAATAACATCGCTGCAAGTTTGTCGTTTGTGCCTGCGAAGACTGCATTTTTTTCTACTTTAAGGAGAGACTGTAAGTTTTGAAAATAAATTGAATTGTAACTTGATAAATTATAGAAAATAAATAGTCCATTGAGAAAAGATAGAGATATTTACAAACACGATATTATACAATATTGATACTCTACAAAAGTTTATAATTATCTTTATTAGATTTTCTAACAATCGACATAATCTTTTGATAAACAATTAAATTCTTTTAAATTTTAGTTTATTAATTAACTTTTAAAATCATCAAAAAAATTTTAAAACTCATAAAACAGCAACAACCTTTTAGATCTTTGTATTTTTTATGCGACAAAAAAAAATCAAAAAGTTTAGGGAAATTACCAGAAATAACACTTTCAAGATACCACTTTTCAACTTTACACTAACCAACTTTACCATTAAAATTTTAATACTCAAAATACTATTAGAATTTAGGGAAATTGCTAAAACTAGCACTTTGATGATACCATATTTCACTTTTGCATTAACCAACTTTACACTCAAAATTTTGATAAGCAAAAGACTATAGTACCCTTAGTTAATTGAACCTAAATCTACCTCCTTCTCTTTCCCACGGTCGTAGATCTTCACGGAGCCGTCGCCGATTGCGGCGATGAGTTCGGAGTCTCCGTTGGCTTAGGGCGGTGGTGGTGGAGGGGGATGGGATGCTTGGGGAGATGAAATCAATCGGAGAATGATTTTAGGGGAGGAGGAGGATGCTTGGTGGTGTAAGGGGGAAGTCGAGGTCGTCAGAAGATGTTTACACGACGTCGCAGCTGGAGGCTGCGGGGAAGGAGAGTTTCTTTGAGAGGAGGATGGCGGAGAATGAGTCTAAGGCGGAGGTGTATAGAAACTCTCAGGTGTGTAGTTTAGTTTAGAACTTGACTATTCGCTTTTTTCGGTTTTGAGATTCTTTTGGCTCAGTGTTTTGATCTACTTGAAACAGAATCAAACAACATCTAGTGTCGTGAATGCAAAACGTGACACTAGTTCAAAAGGTAGTCGCTTTTCTTTTGAACTTGCAATTTAATGTATTTTGAAAATTTCATCTCTGCTTCCATGTTATCGCTGATGCAGGTGGTAGCCATCAGAAAGTTGAGACTCCTGAAAAGCTATACAGAAGGGTAATTACTAGTTTATTTACCTTAAGCTTACAATCTTGATGCATCTTACTTTTTTTTATGGAAGTATATGGGTGAAGTGAACATGTTTTTACATGTGGTTTGACGCTTGTTGTTGGTCAGAGGAAAGTTGCAGGGTTTTCTGAGAAAAATCAGAGACGCCACTAAGGTGGAAGATTGAGATACAAGTCAGTGAAGTGATTTTCAGTGAGTTCTATAAAGAAGAAGCTGAAGGAGACGAGTGCAAGTGATGCAAGGCTGTTTTATGGTTGCTCACTTCAAAGAGTTGGCGGTGCTGTGTATCTAGAGTGATACATAACTTATCTCATTGATGGTGTTTGTAATGGGAAAGAGACCTAGAGAAGATGAAAATGCAGTAGATGAACCTGCTTGTGGTAGACATACATCAAATAGTTATTTTGAAGATGTCTTATTTGCATCAAGAGAAGAGAAGATTATGTAAGTATCTTCTTGGTCATTACTTACAAGTTAGTGAAGTGATAATTCATAAATTTATGAAGCTTTCCTAAAGAGTATTAACTAT